ATGAAAATAAATCTTCGAAATTAAATAAACTTTGGAATTAAGATTGATATGGTTTAAAAAAATGAAGGAACACTTTTTTTTAATATTGATAATGCATTATTTTAATATGTAATACTAGACATACATAACTCATTCTCACACCTTTTTTACTGAATTAAGAAACCTTAAATATTCAGAACTAGAAAATTTCGTCAACTATTAACAATGTTTCAGTGGATACCACTGAAATTTAACATTATAAAAATAAGTTATATTAATTAATTTATAAATAATTTATTTTCATTAAGCTACATTAGGACACAATATATTATACAGTCGAACTCGTTTATAACGAGCACAAAGGGACCGTAACATGTACTCGTTAAATCCGAGTGCTCGTAATAAACGGGTCCTTAAGGCAGGCGTGCAACCAGAAGAGGGGGGGGGGCTTGGGAGGTCAAATGATTGAGTTGACTTAAAATTTAATTAATACTTACTTACTTTAATTACATTAATTAATTTAATTAAATATTTATCTTAATTTAGTGACAACTAACCCCTCCCCCCAAACCAGCAAAAAATTTCTAGTTGCGCTACAGTCTTAAAGGAAAGGAAATATAAACGGAAAGAAAAATAAAGGAAAAGATTCTTACCAAAACATTTATTTTTTTCATTAATCTACATATTTAAAATAGTAGTTTGTTAGCTTACTTTGAAGTTTCAGTTCACGGTTTTTTTAATATTTCGCGCGCATTTCTTATGATTTTCAAAAAAAGATTGCAAGACAGAAAAATATTGCTCGCTAAAACCGGGTCTTGCTCGTTAAAAGCGACTTCTATTCCACAGACTTAACATTCATCCAACCAAATATTCTCGTTTCCCTCGGTAAATCCGAGTTCTCGTTAAATCCGAGCTCGTTATAAACGAGTTCGACTGATTGTTATTGACCATCTTAAATAGTTGGATTTAATTACGAAAATTCAAACGAAAGCAAGAACGTATTGACTTTCACTGCACAGTAAATGGACGGCAGATGGACACGTGTGACGTCAGTTAGTGAATAATCACGTGACTTCCCGTTTCAGGTGAAAAGGAAAATAAGCGTTTTTTGCTTAAAAATAACTTAAATAACTTACTCTTAGAAAAGTTATAAAATGTTTTCTAGGAGATTTAAGGGATTCTGAAAGTCTTAAGATTTAAAAAAAAATTGACTATTATTGTCCATTGGGGCGGCTGTTCTTCGCTGTTTATGAAATAAAATACAATATTGTTTGTTGGAAAAATATAACTACAGGGTTTTTATTTTTTTTAATTGTGTATTCTTAGGTTAACTTCCTTTAAGATTAAAGTTCTTAATGTAAAAGAATTTCTAAAGACAGAAGGAGAAGTGTGCAGCAGATAAACTACTCGCTTGACATTGGATAGAATGAGCTCCACATTTCCAGAGAAAAGCAGCTTCACCAGAAATTCATGGCTTAGGAAACCAATCAACAAACAGAGGGGAAGGTAATTGTTTTAAGTTTCCCGCCAACATTCTTAAAGGGATCTCCAGTATTCTCGAAAGTCGGATACTTAATATTCGATTTTTCAGGAACTATTTGGCCAATTTAGTTCAGATTTTCTTTTTTGCCATATAAAATTACAATCTATAAAATCCTGTAAAAATATATAATTAATTGAAATTAATTTTTTTTCGACTATTATTAAACAAAATGATGAATAATTATTAAAAATTATTTTTTGAGTAGATAAAAGAATTTTTTAATTTCGTGCGAAAAAATTTCCCAACCCGCTTAAAACGTTCTCGAAATATGGCGAAATATGCAAAAAGTAAAATTAATATTAAGGGGTAGAAACTTTCGATCGCTCTCCTGACTAAACTATCTTAGATTGCTGCTGGGGTAAGGAATCAAAATCCGTCAATAAAAAACGTATGTGTATTCAGAAAAGATACGTTCTCTTGTGTGATGTCGTAATTTAAAATATAGTCTGCATTAACTATTTGTCCTATTTGAAGTCATCCCCTCGATGCATTGACAGCTCTAGTACGTAAAAATCTGATAATTAGTTTAAAAGTTATTAATTGTGCTTAAATTTTCCCTCATTTATTTATTTTCTATTATTTTTTTTATATTATTATTTTTTTATTATAGCACTGCACAGTGGCCAAAATTTAAAAAAAATCACTCTGAATAACTTTTGTTTTAGTGACCGGTTTTCCACGTACTAACTATTAATTAAATTTCTAAACGTATGTATGTTTTTTTTTTCCATTTCATATTTGGATTTCTAACCTTCAAAATAGTCGCAATTCAAAATTGTGGTCCTAATAGTTCAAAAGGGAAAGCGGGTGAAAGTTAGGTCCTCTTAATGTTAATTTCACTTTTCGTGTTTTCGGTCATAACTTTAAAACGAATTGCGCAATTTAAAAAAAAACTGCTCCCACTCATGAAACACGTTTACCCAAAGATAATTTAATGCAATAACTATATTGTTGTTGTTGTTAATTTACGTCGCACTAGAGCTGCACAATGGGCTTTTGGCGACGGTCTGGGAAACATCCCGGAGGATGATCCGAAGACATGCCATCACAATTTTGATCCTCTGCGGAGGGGAGCAATAACTATAAATTTTAAATATTATTTATTATTTTTTATTAATCAATTTAATTGTGGACGAAAATATTTTCAATTCTGAGTCATATTTTTTTTTTAATATCATAATAATCTACGTATTTTTCATAGTGAAATCTAAAATTTCAATTGCTTTCATTTAGTAGAAGATTGGAAAAATTAAAATTAATAATTTTGAAAAAAAATTTGGCAATAGAGCAAAAACTATTTTGATTTAGCAGTTTACGCCTAAATTTGGTAATCTTACAAGGAAATTGACTTATGTAAGCCTAGCGTGAGCTTTTTCACGATTTTTCGTTGTTTTAATTCGATATCATTTTCTTTTTTTTAATGATAAAATACGATGTTTATTTTTAAGTTGTCTGCAAATTATATTATTCAATAGTAAAGAGATTTGAATAAAATATCATATTTAACGAATGTCAAGTTTTATTAACACATATTTTTGATAGAATGTTGTTATGCATCAGTTTTTTTTTTTTAAATTTAAGTTTTTAGTTGATGCATTCCACTATTGATTCATTTTCAGTAAGGTGCGCAAATATGCATTTATTAGGAATAATATATTTACCGATTATTAAATGTATATTTTAATAACTAAACAATAAAAATATAAATGAAGATACTAGTTATGTAAAAACTATCTTTATATCGTCTTGAAGCAAACTCTTGTGACTTCAAAAACGATTATCTAAAATTTTTTTGATGCTTTAAAAGTCACTACAAAGAATATAAATATACCGAACATAAAGAACTGTCGAATATATAGCTAAAATTTTGAAGCGTCTTAAAATATCTCAGTATCTTATATTTCGCCCTAACTTCTTAATTTTGAAATTAAATTCTTAATTATCTGACCCCATGTGAATCTCAGAGCTATTCAACCAATTATTTCGTTATATTTTCTACCCTTTCTTTATGTTACCACGTAGATTTTTTTCTCGATAATGTACTAAACTATTTTGTATAATTTTTATTATAACTTGAAGTTTTTCTTTAAATTAACACTCTCTTTAAATAATTGTGAAGTTTTTTTCCGAGTCTCAGTCGAGTTAGTTAGCCAGTTAGCTGATAAAGAACATTTTCTATCTTGAAATTACTCGATGCAAAAAGTTTGACTGATCGTATTAAATAAATGCATCCTTTTCTCTAAGATTGAACAAATAAATTATCTATTTATTTACTTTATTTCACATAATGTTACACCATTTAAATTTAAAGTTACATCATAATGTTACATCATCAAACACACATAATGTTACATCATTTAATTTTGCAAAAAAAATTTTGAGAATTTTTATCAAGAAATTTCAATAAAAAATCAATATTTATAAACGCAGAAAGAATGCTTACGTTAAAGAAAAAAAAAGCAATTTTAAAAATTGCCTACATCGAAATAAAAAAATTTCATAATTTTTTTTCTTTCTAGCCTTACTCAGACGCAGAAAATCATTCCGTTGAGAACATCAAATTAGAACAAAAATAATTTATAAGTAAATTTTTTATTATAAAATTCGTAACACTCACCTACTTTATATGTCCGGAGAATTTCAAATTGAAATGTTCTTCGTTTGAAAATTTTATTCTCCAATAATATATAGATAGATTATCCCTTTATTAATTTAAGATGATAATCCACGCAATAAAATTTTATAATTGTAAGATCTCAATCTAAGTTTCAATAACTTAAACGCAAACTTAAAAACAAATAGTGGAATTCTAGTTGAAATTAAACATTTAAAATTAAACAATACTTGCCAAGAAAACGATAAAAATTTATTAATAATCAATACAAATGATACAATTTCAAGTAATTCGGATGATTCTTTATTGTTGTTCTCCGTACTATATAGATACAGAAATATATACTATTCTATAAGGAAGAAGAATATTCTATAACTATTACAGTTCTGCCCGTTCTGAAATCACATTTATTCATTAGTATGAAGTAAGCAATGTGGAATTAAATAACTTCCCCTTAATTTATAATGAATTGAAGGCAAAACAAATGTATTTTACCTTAATACACCCATCTTTAACAGTATGCAATCACGAAATCGGAAATTATCGGTTTCAAGTTTGTTGATAATGGAAAGGAAAAAATTATTGAGAAATTGTTCTTCAAGTTTTGGGCGCCTTCTGTTTCCGAATAATTTACCAATGTTTTGGGTCATCTTTTCAAGTTCTGCGTTTTTCTTTGGGAATTTTTGCTTCTTATTTGCTGCTAAAAAAAAGCGTTCTTCTCTACCCATGATTATGATAGAACTAAATGAAAACTTAATAAATAAAAGCCTGAAAATATCGCCTCCACTAGAGGGCGTATTAAGGCTTTGCTGTCTTGAACAGCCCGACGCTGTTCGAGTTAGTGATGATTTTTAACTATTTCTTAGCGCAGTATATTTTGTTTGTCAAAAATTAAAACCAAAACATCTATCACTGTTTCTAAGGAAATTAATTTTAAGTTTAGCATCATATTTTGGCAACACTATATACATAACCAGAAAGGATGTTGTTGTGTTCTTGAAACTGGTGTAAAATTTCATTGTTTTTTTACTTAATTCCTTTATCTGAATTTGATTTCAATTTTATGTTTCGTTACTTCCATATTAAGTGTATTACTTCAGATTTATTTATAATGGCCTGAAGTTTTGGTTTTCCTCTGCGTGTAGAAAATGAGCAAAGATACATTCCTTTTCCGTATTTCCTAACAGTTACTGGATCACGCTTAGCCACCGGCATTAGAAGTTGATTGGCTGAGTGAAGCTGAGAGCCAGAAGTCAGATGGTTGTGTTGTGACGTCACTTGTCGTGTAATTCTTATGTTAATGAGATATTCAAGATGGAGTACTCTAAAGTAGTCTAGCTAATGTCGAGGAGAGTGAAGAGTTGTAAATATTTGAATTTATATTCAAAATATGCCGAAAAGACTTAATGGAGAAATTCCTCTACCGGATGGGTGGGATGTGGGTCGGGATTTTGACGGAAAAATTTATTTTATCGACCATATCAATAAGAAAACTACATGGATTGATCCTCGCGACAGGTAAGTCAATGATAAGCCTATGATTGGAATGTGAGACTCTATGTCTTATTATTTTTATTAATTAATTAATGAATTGTTAATTATTGAATTATATGTACCAATAATTAAGTGCTTTATTAAAAAAAGGTTGTATTATGGCTGGTAAGTGTTTGAGATCGCTTTAAATTACTGCCGAATACCTGATGGTTATCCCGCCATGGGGTAGGGAGAAAGAGGTACTTGCTTAATTAGGCTGTTAGGATTCGCATTCCGATCAGAATTTCTTCAATCGCTGTTTAATCATATCTTTTCTCTATTACCTCCCGCAAAATATGTACTCGTTGATATTTTATATGGTATCAATTAGATTATCTTGATTATTAAATTAGAAAGCAGGTTCCCGTCTAATTGTACTTGTTAGTATTAATTGCACCAATGTTAAAACAAAAAAACTTATGAAAATGTTTCGTAGGATTAGTCAAGTTTCATGGTGTACTACAGTAAATAAAACTATTAATTTCTTAAATTTATAGAACAATATCTTGAATTTTATTTATTCTGATCATTTGCAGTAGCTGATACATTTCAGTCACATTGTATTTTTATGACAATATCCTTATTACTTTAAACAAAATATGTACTCTTAGTTTGATATGATATCAATTTATCTTGGTTACTAAATTAGGAAGGGGTCAAATCCTGTGTTTGTATTAATTGCACTGCTTAAAAAAACAATGAGAGCTCTTTATCAAAATGGTTTACTGGATTGTTTTAGCTTCATGATATAATAAATATAGCTAATAGTGCATAAGTTTATAGAACTATATCACCTTAAATTATATTGATTAGGATCAGTTGCATCTGTTAATATATTTCATACATATTTGTTATTTCTTTTTTTATGACAATATTTTCATAAGGTGTAAAGCTAGTTTATTTGAAATGCATAGAAATCTCCACAAATTCTTGATAAACATCCTTAGCTAAAAATGGAATGATATTTTATTTTTGTAATACTTGACTTGTTGACAACTTTAATATCTTAGCTAGTGTTTTCTATTCAAAACCTTTGTTCTTGGTTGGTGATATTTCTAAATGTAAGCTTATATATTGTTAATGTAGTGAAACTTCAAAGGTAAGCTTCCATTGCCTAATTTTTTGTATATGAGGATCACTTTCGTAGTTTTGAAAATGGGTCGAGTAATCGTAGTTTTGAAAATGGGTCGAGTAATCTTAGTCTTTCATGTTAATTAATAAGTTTGAAAGTTATCTTGTCATATGTGTTGGAAACATTTCCCTGACAGTATCTGTTTATGCCCAATAACTTTGCCAGGGCCCCAAAGGTTTTTTTTTCTTTCGAAAATGAATAAAATGTGTCATGGTTTAACTAGAATAGCTTCATTACTCTTTTTAAATTAAACCCTTTCTGTGAAGTTTTATTAGTTTTAAACTAATACTTCAGTTATTTAACTGCCAATTAGTTGTTTTGAAAAAAGAAGTAAGTATTAAATGGCATGCCCATGCTAATGATATATCTCTTTGTTATATAATGTTCTGCATTTACTCCATCAATGTTTATTCATGGTCAACTTTTGAACAATGCGAAACTTTTTTAATACTTATTTATACTTAAAACTACTATGTTAATAATACTTTTGAGTTATTCTTAAACTAAAAGAATGGGGAAGATTTCACATTATGATCTGTGGTAGAATCTTGGCAACTTCTGGACAGTGGCTTGCGAGAAATGAAAAGAAAAAAAAATCACTGAAAGTTAACAGTTCAAGGAGTATAACTAATAGCCACCCTTAAACAAAACTCTACATATTGTTTTTTTTAAAAAAAAAAACTGAAGTTTGAAATCCTTTTAGTGATTGTAGTTGGTGCAAAAGATCACCGCACAGAACCTAAAGTCTTCATGTAGATGTAGCGTTGCTGTTATTATTTTTTTAAACAGATTAATGATAGGTACATATGCATGTTTCCATTAATATGAGTAAAGTTTAAAATGATTTATTCTGGCATATATTTAATTAAGTATCTTGCATAGTAGGCATACACATAGCTGCTAACCCTTGTGTTTTGTATAAGTTTTTTGCATTTATGCTTTATTTTCCTAATTGCAATGAGACTCAAATCTTCCTTGATTTTTTTTTTTATTAAATTGTACATAAAATTTTTAACTTTTTAGAGCCATTCGTGTGCTAGGATTGTCTCTTGTAGGGTTCGCAAAAACCCCTAATTTTTACTTAGAAAAGAAAAATTATTCATCTTACATACGTATATATACTAAATGTAAAAGTATGATACAGTATAAAATAAAAAAATATTACTTGACTATTTCCAAAGAGCATACAATATTTACTAAATATAAATGTACAATAAATTGTAAAAGTATGTTGAGAATTTTCAAAGAAATTAATAAAAGTAATGGTAAAGCGATAACTATTTCAGTCATATTTCTGTCTTCTAAATATTTAATAAATTGCAGAATGATGAAGTTACAGAAATGATTTTTTGTAAAATTTCACATGTGTGTGTAATGTGATTAGTTTTAATTTATAAACAAAACCCATAATTAGCTTTAAAGTTTATAAATACAATTTCTAGAAGCATTCTTATACATTCATGAAAAAGAAAAAGGATTGTGTTATGCATTTTTTTTTAGATATTAAGCCCTAAGAATTTTCTGTACCATTAGTAAACCTGTCTGGGTTTGTTAAAATTCATGAAAGTCTGAGTTCTTAATATGCCTTAGAATGTACACAAAACTTTATTATACTTTTTGTTGTTGAAATGAAGGGAAATTTTTTTTTAAATAATTTATCTTTGTTTTAGGCATTTGTTCATTTCAAGAATATAATTTAAAACTTTTCATGAATATGTTGAAATGCTCATTAAATTTAACTAATAATTATATTTATATTCTTCAGTCATTAAGTTCAGTTAACAGTTTGAATTGAACTTCACTAAAATCAGAAAATATTCCTTCTAGTTCTCTTGTCATAAGAGAAGCTGTGAATAACCGAGTAATGAGATGGTTTCCAACTGGTATTCTTAATTGTAGTTTTCTGTCAAAATATGTGTTTAATATTCTAAACTTAATTTTTAAACTGATTTTTTGCATAAGGGGCAGAAGATGGAAACCAAATAAATAATAATTAGAAATCTTTAAATAAAACTGGATATTTTGAGTCTGTTTTTTTCAGACAATTTTTTTAAGTGCAAAATTTATTTCTGCATTCTTTGCCTAAAAGTATCATTTCCATTTTGAAATATTGGATTTATACATTCCTTTGATGAATTTTAACAAACCCCGACAAGTTTACCAAGGGTGCAGAAAATTCTTACGTCTTAATATCTAAAAAAATACATAACACAATCTTTTTTCTTTTTTTTAGTTACAATATCCTTTTCAAAATATTTTTAGAATGAAAAGCCTGTAATTTTTTAAAATTTCTCTTAAAGAAAAAATTTATTTGGTTTTGAAAATTTTTTGATTCAAGCCTATGTGTTAAAATAATTGCAAACTAAGAATGTTGAAATAGGAAATAGTAAAATTTTATGATTAATTTAAAATCAGGTGCATGAATTTTGTTTTATTTCACATAATTTTTATTAAAAAGTTAAATTTATAAAACATAATATAAAACTACAAATTTATAAAGTTGATAATTTCAAAGAACAATTAATTTTGATAACTGCATAAAAGTAATTTTCTTTTTTTAAATTCATTCATTATATATAAATGTGAAAGAAACCTTGTTGGGTATTAAGATGGGTTTTTTTCTAGTGGGAGCAAACTGAAAAACACTGTTTTTCTGGGCTGAGCCCATCTTTGTGAACCCTGATCTCTAGTGTATTTATATAGACAATGACATCTTCAATTTTCGTTGCACATCAGCTTGATAGACATTGTACGTCTTTAATTAATGCTAAATAAAAGTTGTGAAGTATCTGATTATACAAATAACATATTGTTACATTATATAAATAACTGATTGTGTTAAAACACAATATTCCAGTTATGGAACAATATAAATATAATCTTATATGGAAACATAGTTATAAATAAACAGAGTTCTTTGTAAAAAGCTTGGCATCCTTGCTAATAAATGCCAGACTAAATGTGTTAAATCCATGCTAGACTTTAAAAAAAAATTTAACGACCCAAAAAAATAACCCAATGTTTCACCAAGCGTATTACCAGCAACCATTTTGGTTAAATAACATGTTCAAAAAAACTTCATAGAAGGAATTTCTGGGTGCACAGTCTTTTTTGTTGAAGGGCCACTTGTACTGCAGGTTGACTAACGAAGGGCCGTATGCATATTTAGCCACCGTTGAAAAGATCAATCAAGAAACTGCGCAGATTTGCACTAAAATCCATGCAAACTGAGTGCCTCAGAAAGTGATGGCGATACAAAACTTTCAAATTTTAAAAATGTTATATTATATTTAATTATATTTTTTTCTTTCGTGGTTAACCAGACAGCAAAAAATTCTAACTCAAGATTTGTTTACCACTGAGGATATTTTACTTCAGGTGTTTGTTCGATACAAAATAGGAGTAGTATTCATATCAATCAGACACAGCTGGGTTTTGAACCTTCATCACCTCATAGAGGGGTAATCGCTCTAGCCTCTGCTGCTCACAAATGTTCTAATGAGTGTTAAAATTACTTCTTGTTCATGTTACAACAAAAGTCACTTTATGTAATTGTTTTTATAATGGTCGAGACACAGTAATAAGGGGGTTATATTAAAGGCTGTAAATTATGTTTGTTATGTTGCTAAATATATGCAGTTGCTAATAAATAACTGGTTTGCTTAACTCTTAATTGCTAATTACCTACTCAGATGGATATATTGTTATTTATTTGAAGATTTTGTTAGTTCAATCAGTAGTTTGAGTTATGGCATTTCCAAATTCGTTTGTAAATTTCTTAAAAGTTGAATTGGATTTACAATTTTACATTTTCTAAAGAAAGCTTAAATGTAGTTTTACAATATTTCTAAAGTACTTAGCTTTAAATTTTATTTTAGATATACAAAACCTCAGACATTTGCTGACTGCGTTGGAGATGAACTTCCATTTGGATGGGAAGAATGTTTTGACAACCAAATTGGCGTGTATTACATCGATCATATTAATCGTAAGTGATTATGTGTCGAATCTTAAATTTTTTATAATATAAAAAACAGAGTACCTTAATATTTCCAAAGCTCTCATTATACTTTGCAGGGTCCTTATGAATATTATCTCTTTGTGAAGGATTAGGACAATTAATAACTTAAGAAGAAAATAGTTTTTTTAGCCAAAAAAATATGCAAATTTTTTAAAAATTTCATTCCATGTAATGGAACTTGGATTTTTTTTTTTCAAATGCTGAATTTGAATTGTTAATTAGAAAAGTAATTGCAGGAGGGAAAAATACCGAGCTCTTTATGCTATAGTTATTTGTTTTAATCGCACATTCTTTTTATGATTGCTTTCTGTTTCCAAAATCAAAATTTACGTACTTTTTATTTTAAAAATTTATCTTTATTGGTGTTATTTTAAAAGCATTTTGTCAATAAAAATGAAGTTACAGATTAAGGGGCATACTCTCGATGCAAATGTATAATTTGAAATTGTTTTACGTAACATCTTGTTATAAAGAACTATCTGTGCTTTAAAATGGCACATTTTAAAATGTATTAAACTTAAGATTTGCCAATTTGGTGAGATTTTTATTCCTAGGTTAAAATTTATGAATAATGTTCAGTTATCTATGTTGTGCAAGCTATGCAAACACTGCTAGCCAAAATTAGGTTGACTTAGGTTACAAATAGCTGCACTTGAAATATTAACCTTTTAATAATTGAATGAAAATATTAGTGCTATAAATTGCTGCTTGTATTTCTTTGTATTTTATTAAATGACTTTTTAACATTGCTTTTTAAGAGTCAAATCAAATAGAAGACCCTCGCCAACAATGGAGACAACTCCAAGAAGCTATGTTGAAAGATTATTTACTAACAGCACAAGAAGATTTGCAGGTAAGCATATTATGTTTATGTCTCATTAGGATAAATATTACCAATATCAGTATTTGTTTCTTTTTCTCTTTTTGTATCAGTTGAAAACAGAGATTTGCCCCATCTTAAGGGAATGATGTCGCAAGTATAGAATATTTTGAATATTGTCTGCTTACGACCAGCTCAAATGTATGCTGACTGGAAAAGAGACGTGACATAAAAATAGAGATAAAAAAGAATAGAAGTTCAAAAATTTTGTGTTGAGTGAAAAAGATTTATTAAAGCTAGAGAAAATCTTGCAAAATAAATCCGTATAATGTTTTGTTTTAGGGAATAAGGGAAAACTTAGTAATTGTTATTGGTATGTTAAATGGGTCCAGGGAAAAAGTCTTTCCCACGAATTAGTTACAGGGATTTTTGCCAAAGTGGTAATTAATGCATACTTGAACTAAAAATAGATTAAAAGACGGGATGTGAATTTTAAAGTGTGAGTAAGAGCATTTCTTTTTGAATAATACATTAAGAAGGGAAAAGAAAAAAGAATAGCATAAAAAGATTAATTAAAGCTTTTTATGTTTCATATATATTTATATATACTTATATTTTTATTTATTTAGATCAGTTGTGTGTTAACAAACTGAAATTTAAACTGGAATTCTTTCTTTGTGCGTATATTGGCTTAAAAAATTGAGTTGGTTGTTAAATTCCAGAAAAAAGTTATTTTGAAGAGCCGAATATTGGTTTGGAGCCAGATTGTGATAACATTGTGTAGTGAGTGACTATGTTGTTTTATTTATATCAGTGCTAAATATTTCCAAAAATTTGGAGCACAAGTTTTCAGAATTCTAGCATCTGAAAACAAGTGATTATGTAAAATATATTGTTAAAGTGATGCAAAGTAAAGCCTAAATTTAAAAGGATAGGAAGGAAAATGAAACACGGTGCATTAATTATGAGACATTAGTGACCTCGTCAATAAGAACAAAATTCTTTTTTCTCCTTTTCTCAACCTATCTGCTTTGAGCTTTGTCCACCCACATATCCACTTCTAAGAACAAATTCCTCTAGAGGGCAGAATCAAAACTCAATGCGTCAATCATTTGGCTCTGTAAACCTTATCAATAAGAATGGGTAGAATTTTTCTCTCTCCTCTCAACGGATATGTTTCACTCACTTAAATATTCCAGATAACTATCTCTTTAAGATAATTGTTTGAATTTCCTTTCAGACTTCTTGCCTTTTTCCTTGTCCCATGATTTTTTCCTTTTCTGCTTTGCGCGATTATATTAACCATCATCAATCATAATCATCCGTCATCAAGCATAAACCAATCCTACCCCATCATATTTTAAGTTAAAAATGCAGAACCATTTTCCAAGCAAATTGATATTAGTTAGCTATTTTAGAGAATTTTTTGTAAACATTTATTTTTTGTTAAATCCACAGTTTAATTCTCACATGATTTGGTTAATTCTCATGTGTAGGTCGGTGTTAAACCAACGTAAATGCTGCACCGCCACATACACCACACATCACAATAAATCCGCTTTTTAATACAGATAGGTCGCAACGTATATACTGGAATTTACTATTGGTAGATAGTATTTCCATATGTGCATAAACTTAAAATTTCGGAGTAACATGCATTTTTTTTGTGCAATTATACCCTACATTATTTTCAATTCTAAATAAGTAAAGCTTTTCATTTTTAGTATTTTTTATTTATTTTCTCTGTTAAATTTTAGTTATATGTTTGAATTTCACACGTCTGAATTTATGAAGTAAATGCATAGTAAATTAATTAGATCAATCATAAATAATTAGATGTATCTATCAGAAGAAAATTACAGAAATTCTAAGAGCTATAACCAATTTTTCTTTTAATTTTTTTATAAATTCCTGTTGATTGTTATGTGAATTAAGACTATCTGTATCAATACATTTTTCCTATTTGATGTTTTTAAATTGGATGATTTGCTTTTAATAAATATTAGTTATTACATTGATGATAAAAGTTTTTCCAATTAAAGTGTTCTTTAAATGTTAGAATTGTTTCTAAAGCATTCATTCCTTGTAGGCGAAGAAAGAAATACTTGATATAAAGCAACAAAGGTTGTCTCTAGCACAAGATGAATATCATCATCTTACTGCAGCTCTACAAGGATTAAATTCTTGCCCATCAAATATCAGTTTATGTTCTTCGGGATCTGCAGCTTCCTCAACTAGTAGTTGTGCTACAAAATTTGATCCCGATCTTTTAAAAGCAGACGTTGCTTTGGCTAAAGACAGAGTTGCAAGATTAAAGCGAGAACTGGAACAAATAAAAACTGAAATGTATTATAAAGAACAAGGACTTGAAGCATTATCTCAGTAAGTAGCTTTTCATGTTATATCAATATTTAATATTCACTTTTCAATTTTCACTTATGCTCTAGACTAATACTTAAATCTCTCAAAAATATGCAACCTTTTAAATTTTGGAAATCAAAACTGAATTTGTTCAGTATTCTGAATGACTTTTTATTTGATTTTTCTGAACCACAAATGTTTCATGTGCCATATTTTAAAAATATGTGTTGTGCATTACTGTAAAACAAGCTTTTATTCTTACTTTTTTAGAGTGGATCAACAGTTTTCTGGCCAATCAACAAGTTATACTTTAGCTGAAGCACAAGCAATCATGGAGGAATTACGTAATATTCAAAAGTCTCTTAATTCAGGAGAAAAAGAAAAAGCAGAACTAATGCAGGTTAATAAAGTTTCTAAATTATGAAATTTTTAATTTTCTAGAATTTTTATTTTTTACTTTCTGATAAATTGGTAAATATTGACATTTCTTTTGCAGAGTTTATCAAGGTTGAAAGATGATCTATCTCGTTTGCAACCTTCTCCAGATGTATCTACATTTAATATTCCTTTAGAGAAGCTGAGTACGGCATCTCAAACTGATTTGTCTGGAGAGGTAAGTTTTCTGGAATTAAAATTTTCTTTTAACTGATTTAGCATTGCACCTTCTTAGAATTAAAGGGTTCCCTTTTTCCAAGAAGTGTCTGCAGTGCAGTTATTGAATGAAAATATGGTCATTTACATTAGATATGACCAGCATGTTCTATTTGTAGCTCTGTATCAGTTAAGGTTTGAGTTAAAACTTTTCTCTAAACACATTTTATTATATTTAGTTTGCCCCAATCGGTGCAAGATTAGCTGAAATGGCTCGAATGCGTTTACAGTACGATGAAGCCCGTAAAGAAGTCCACAGAATTCAACAAGACTTGGCTGATCTAGAAGAAAAGATGTCACCTGGCCAAACTGAATCTGATAAAGATAGGTAATATTTACAATCGTACTATACTATAACTAGATAATTGTACTTCTTTTGGAGAAGTACTATTAATTTGTATAAGCAATGATTAATTTTTTATTTTAGCTAAAATAGTTCTAGCTATTGAACCAATTTTGTATAATTTTTATATTTCATTTGCCATTACACTTTTAAGTTTTAAATAATTGACCTCCAATGACAAAATTTCTATTTAATTGCTATTTAAATTATTCCTTTTTTTCTTCCTCAATTGCAATTGTCTCTAAACTTGATTGCAACTTGAAGCCATATTGCAAACTTGAAGCCATATTGTAAAAATTGAGATATTGCAAAATGAGGTGTTTTACTAACATTAATTAGAATTTAGATTAAACTTTTAACTTGAATTTTTAACTTTAATAATATTGTTATAATGGATATATTTCATTAGATTTTTTTGCATACTGAAATTAATTAGCATTAAAATTAAATTAATTAGTAAACAATGTCAGATAACGTAGCTTAGTAAAAACCTTTTTGGAGCTTTATATTTAATCTCTTTTTACTAAAATTTACTTTTGATAGTCAGTTTAAAATACTGTACACAAAAGCTTATTATAAAAGTAATTACCTATTATATGAAATTAGCTTTCATAGTGTTCATTGGTAATATTAAGCAAATTGTTTCTTAGGTATCTATAGCAAAAATAGATTTTTGATAATGCCAACTTCACTGAGAATAGCTTGAGGGGTTTATTATTATTTTAAGACACAGATAATTTTGTTAATGAGTGTGCTCACACTAAAAAATAATTTTGTTTTTTGACCTGAATAAAAAATGAAATATGTTCATGTATTTCATTTTTTTCTTCAGAATTTATTGCCTGATACAAATCACTTAACAAATTATATTCCATACATTTAAATTTTTGTGAGAATAACAGAAAGGAAAAAATATCGGATTTGGTTTAATAGAAAAAAGTATTGAATGGTTAGTTTCAGTTCCTGAATCGGTATTGCAACTGTTGATTTTAAATTAGGAATTGTAACAACTTGGTTTTAAATAAAGTTGTTCCGTTGTTGTATACAATATTTAAAATGAAAACAAGTAATATGTCTGTCTTTTTTAAATGCTAGTAAAATTTGAAAATAGATTACATTAAGCAGTGCTTACATTTTAAAAATAATTTTAATTCATCAAGCATGATCAAATTTTTTCTTGATATATTTTTCAGTTAACTCCAATGTAAAAGTTTTGACATTAAGTTCTGTAACTGTTTAATCATTTGTTTTTCTCTTTTAATTAACTATACTTGTCAATTTTTTTTATAATTGGCAAGATGCAAAATTCTGTAAGTAGTCAAACAAAAAGTTTCTTATAAATTTATGAGTTATATTTGTTTAAAAATGTAGCCACAAACAGTGTAAAAAATTCTGATATATCAAAAAGATGATTAATTTAAATTGCAAAATAATCAGCAGTTCTTATTAAAAAATAGTTTAGCTTGAGAAGTCTGTCAAATTTTCTTTATTTTAATAATTGGGTTTTTTTTTTCTGACGCATTTTATGTTATGAGCCAGTATGTAATAACTATTTTTAATAAATAGATGTTAAAAAAGCATGAACATTTCTTTATAAATAAGTTTAAGTGTTTTAAACTATGCACATTTTATGTTTTTTCATAATCATAAAAATTGATTTCTTTGTGCTATATCAATTGTATAGAAGTATTTAACTTTCTTAAACATTAGAAATACTATTTTCTTGTACTCTGCATGTACATAGATTTGCTTTCATTCTCCTGTAATTTACTTAGTGAATATTATTTCTCTTTTGCATGTAATTTTGAATTTCATGTTGTATAAATCAGTCTATTCTGCAAATTTTGCATGTTTTCTTTTTTGTTGCTTGCATGGCTAGGCTGCTACTTATTCAAGAAAAGGAGCAGCTTCTTCGAGAATTGCGTAGTATCAATATTAAAGGCCGAAGTGAAGGAGAGAAAATGTCAATCCAAGCTGAAATATGCAAATTAGAGCAAGAACTAGATAATGCTATGGAGATGTCTAATCGAGCAATAGCAGATAGGTAAGCTTATTATGTTACTTAAGCTTTTCCTTGCAAGCCCTTTTCTTATTTCATGTGATTTGGCATGTTAATTCTAGCATGAAGTGTATAATTGTTCTTTTTTTATTGAAAAGTTATATTAAGGTTGTAGAAAGTAATATTTATGCATTAGTTTACCCGCAACATGATAAAAGATGGGAAATTAGGATAGACAGGTAGCTAAGATGTTTTACCATAATAGTTGTTATATTTAATCAAAATATTCATTGTTTAGTTGTGTACAATCTATGGTTCCTGAAAAGTCAGTACTACTATTTTTGTATCAATTTTTAGATTTTCCAGAAAAAATCAAATCACCCGGTCTACCATACTAGTGGGATTAGACCTGGTACAAAATTCTCAACAGAAATGTTAGTATTTAAGGAAAATGTAGCAGACGTCTCTGTTTTATACAACCGTTTATGAAAATTATGCATGCAGTTTACATGCGATTTAGTGAAGGCCCCCGTGGCAGAATCGTGACGACATTGCAACATTGTCGCAGAACGTTCCGAGTTCTTGCGGAAAGATTCCGAGTTCTTGCTAAAGTAGAATTTTTTTTCTGCAGATATTTTCGAAAGATTTTATCTTTTCTTCAAAATTATATTCAAAAGATGACTTTCTCGCTCATTGGAGTGGGGAAAAAAATACTGTTCTATTCTTATTTGAGAACATTGAAAAATAAAGATTAATAAAGTAAAAAATTTTCTTTTCTGCAGAAAATTTCGTTCTAATTTTTTTAATACAGTTATTACTATTGATTTCTCCATAGTTTTAAAATCCGATATATATAATATATTATTTATTACAACAACTGAAATCTCTAAATGAAAACATGCATTTAGTAACTTTTTTTGAAGTGTCCAATTTACTGCTATGGATTTCTTGATTTTTAAATTTTTTTTTTAATGAGATGATGATTTACAAAATGCAAAAAAGGTAATTAGTCTGTTTTCCCCGTACAAAAGCGAGAATATAGCCTATAATATTAGAATAAAAAATATTACATATTTAATTAAAAAATTATTTTATTTGATCCGAAAAGTTTGTCATTTTTAAAAGTATCTTGCAGAAAGATATTAGTATTAGAGAGGTATGTTGCAGAAAGCCTAACAAATTTTTTCCACAGTGGTGAAGGCTATTTTGAAAAGCAGGAGAGAAGGGCACTTTTCCCAAGAATCAAAACCATTGAGGGGTTGACTAAAATTTATTTAAAAAATTTTGTTTTTTAATTAGATTAGTTTTATTATACAAGAAATTTGAAGAGAATATCGATCAAAAACAATTTTGTTTTGAGGGTAGGGTCTTCAAAAATGTGCTTTGAGGAAGGGACCCTGTAAAGCCTTTGATATAGTTAACTTCTGCTGCTCTCGAGCTTTCGTGGGATCAGTTCGGCACAAATCAAAGGGAATTAGGTATTATGATAGTATAGAATTATCATAGTAGAGTTAAATTATTGTAGTATTTTCCTAGTTATTAATAAATCATTAAACATGTCATAACTAAAACAACAATTGGGAAGAATTAATGAATTAAAGAAAATAAATGAACTGTTGTCCTTCAACATTTTAAGTAGATGAGTGTGATGAAACCTTATTTTTTATAATTATGCAGCAAACTGTTAAAATATCATAATACAATTTTATTAATACTTCTAAATTAACAAATCACCTACTAAAGAAATTCACTACTACAGATCACATTGAATTTACAATTGCAAATAGTTTATCAATTTTTGTAATCAAATACTGTGTAGTATAAATACCTATGTATAATTTTATATCTAGATTTCAAAATTATGTATGAAACTAAAATAAATAATGTAAAATTGTATATATATATAAATATTTTTTTTGAGAAATAGATGTGATAAACTTTTTACTTTCTGGTCATGCTAAATTTCTTTTAATTATTCTTATGCTCATTCCTGAACGACTAAGCTGGGTATTTTTAGTTTCTTCTTTTTTCCTCCAGTTTCCTCCATTTTGTCTGGTTTCTTTCATACAAAATACGTACCTTGCATGTAGCTGAACTGTTAATTAGTTTTTTTCTTTAAATTTTTTTCTTATTTTCTAGCACCTTTAATCACATTTTTGCTAGCACTAATATTTGATGTCAAATTGTTAACATGTATCTGTCCCATCTGCAGGGCAAAAAACTTCTTATTTTATAGTCAGGGATGGAAATGATGGAAGTTCATTATTTTTTGCATTAAATAATTAATTCTCAAAACCTTTGACATTTCGTCAATGACTTAGCAACTAATTCCAGACTGATATCTGTTTAGGTACTGATCATAAACCTCTCATTTCAATAAGTTAACTTCCTAATTACAGCTTGATAGCCTTTTGACTATTTTATTTATTAGTCTTTTATTTAATTTAAAACAAACATCAATGTTTACTCTTTCAAGGTATTATTTTTGTTACTTTGAAATATGTTTTTTAACTTAAATTTATAAGATAGACTTTTGTGATTGTAAATGTATGCTCTGCTTACATAATTGTAAATAATATTGAAAATTGGACATAGAAGTTACTTTTTCAGAATTATGTAAATATGGAATATAATTATAAATATTTAAAGTAGACTTGCTTTAGTACCCCCATTTCTGTTTTCAATCCTGTTTCAAGTGATACTATTCAAAGGTCCCGCAGTGGACTGATCGTTAAGACACGGTTCCCAGCAGATCACCGAAGTCAAGCATCACTGGCTACGGTCAGCGTGCGGGTGGGTGACCACTTGGATCAGTCTGCGTAGGGACCGAGGATGTGAGGTATTGGTTCTCGTTAAACTGAGCTACCGTAAAGTGCTCGACTTCGCGCGCAGGTCGTCGGGCTACCGAAGCGGGGGTGCCATCCCCTCCGCAGAGGATCAAAATTGTGATGGCATGTCTTCGGATCATCCTCCGGGATGTTTCCCAGACCGTCGCCAATAGCCCATTGTGCAGCTCTAGTGCGACGTAAATTAACAACAACAACAACTATTCAAAGCAGTGCTATGAATGTGAAATGCTACCTAAGTACCAAAAATCCTTATTTATATCTGTCTGCTTCCTTTGAATGTATAAAAATTGCAACTTAATCTTCCATGATCAATTTGTTTGACTTTTTTGAGCATGTACTACTAGAATTTCCATAGTTTTGTTTCATTTTGCCAATATTTTAAAAGGCTGGCCATGAAAAAATTAGAAAAGTGGAATGCTATATGAATACTTGAATAAATATTTAAATCTAGTGGTGGGCAACATTAATTTTAAAATCAAATTTACTAGCTCAAGAATCACTATGTATTTTTCTACCTCTGGAAAATCTGTTTACAGAAAGTGGAGCAACTTGGCATCAGTGCCTTCCAATTCACTAATTCTCATTATTTATGTATTCATTAGTTAGTGTGTTCAGACACAATTAAGAAAAATGATTTTTACCTTCTGAACATTTGTTCTAAATTTTTACTAAACCTTCAGCTAGAAACTTTCCTGCAGCTTAAGTATTCTCATATGAGAAAGTTATGCAAATTTTTTTAAACTTAAATTTACCCTGAGTTGGTAGGCTTAAAAACAGTGCAACAGACTTTTCTAGACAAAAAAGGTAAATTGCAACTTATCTGTATGCATAAGTGACAGCCAGCTTGCAAATAATTCTTTTCCAGAAAGCAGCCAACCCTTTGTTTAAGTAAAGATTGACTGTTATTGTTAAGTACAAAAATTTGTCCCTAATTGTAAACAAAGAGGCTTATAAGCATTCTGTTTTATGTACTTTATTCATGCTTTGCTAACTGCAGTTTTCTTGCCACGTCCATAGCAATCATATACTTACTAGAATTTTGTTAATGTATATTATCTTTCTTACAGGTTAAAACTGCATGAACAAAAGAATCTATTGTTAATACAGCTTAGGGACTCAATGAGAGTCACAATGTCTTTAGAATCTCAATTGAAAAGGTATGTTATAATTAACAATTCAAAATTTCACTATAGAGTAGTCTCCACTTAATGTGATCTTGGTTAATGTTGTCAATCCTTTGAGGGCCAGGTTCGACAAGTACACTACAGTCTCTATCTTCTAAGGGAAAATCTCTTAAGATTATTCAATGTAATATTAATGGCCTAACTACTGTTGCCATGAGAGTGAAATCTTCAATCCAACACCTTAGCAACTGGAGGAATGTTGGAGACAGGGCTCCGGCTTCAATTTTGGGAATGCTCTTCAGGCTCTCTACGGACTTTGGAGTACACTTCCAATGGATTCCATCACACGTTGGAATCAAAGGTAACGAGATGGCGGACTCACTGGCTAAAGATGCTTCTTTGGAACCTCTACAGCCAGATCTACCTTCCACTTTCAACGAGGTCTTTTCAGAGTGCAAAAAAATGTTTATGGACCTCTGGAGGGTTCCTCCTCCGCATAGTTGGTATTTCAGAAAACGACCTGGAAGTGCCTTGCTTTTTGAGGGACCTAGAAGCCAGCAGACTTGTTTGTTTCGCTTTGCAAGTGGTCACTTGAGGTGTCTCTTGTATGTTCAGGGGCAAAAGACTTTTGGACTTTGCACTAAATGTAGGACTGCTCAGGCTTCGCCCGAGCATATTCTAAACTGTATCGATTTTAAGATCGACGAGGTTTTTTCAAAACCTCATCTGTTTTTAGACTTCCTGGACATTTTTGGACTTATGGAATTGGTCTAATTGGGATGGACCTCTTGGGGATTAGAAACAACGAAACAATCCTTTATTGTTATCAAGAAAATTAGGTCCCAATTTTTTCTGTTCATTTGTATGTTAAAATTATCTCTTTCTGTGGACATAACTGTTATTACATTACTTTAATGTTATCAGTATTTTTATACATCTTTTGAATTTTTTATTTATTATGTGCATATAGAAGGACCCTTTTTTCCTCTACGATAATATTTGAATTTCTGAGAATTCTTTCTCAAAAATTAATTTCTTTCACTCCTTTAGCTGCAGGTGGTCAGAAGTGTGCTGATTAGCTGATAACGAATGTAATTATCTTTGCCACATGGAAAGGAGAGGTTTTATCTAAACCAAGTACAAGCACGTTGTCATTTTATGCTCACTTGCTTATGTAGAGTTTGGCAACATGGAGAGCATGAACTGATTTAACATTAATACGAAAGAGTAACGCTTTAAATAATTATAACAGATTATGGCAATGCTGCAGCATGGTTAAACATCTGTTAGCCACTGCTTCGCAAAATTTTTAAAAATCGTTTGTTTTCTATTAGATAAAATGGAAACTAAACTCAGTGGCGTGATAGCCCTTAGAGGGCCAAGGCCTACTGTGCCCATCTCAGTTTTTTGGGGCTCTGGGTTGCAAGAGCAGATGCTCTGATTGGGTGGTCAACTCCCAGTGTTTTGCTCCCAAGCATGCTGGGTACTCATTTTATTGACCTACTGAAGAGATGAGAGGCTGAATCAACTACGCCCACCTCCAGGATCGAATGTGATACGAGATTGCGAAGTGCTACTTCTCAGCCACCAGGCATCAAAAAGAAAAACTCTGAGTGCAAAAAAAAAGAAAAAAAAGAGCTAATAACAAATAAGTTGGAGAAGCTTTAAGACTTGTTAAAAAATGTTCAAGAACGTAATACTCCAACTGAAAGACCTTTCATCCAACAAAAAGCAGAAAATTAAGCTTTTCGAATGAATAAATGGAAAATTGTGCAGCAAATGTTGGTTTTAGTTTTGGAGAAAACAAGATATCTTATATTTTTGATAATTATTAGCTTTGGCAAACAGAAAGATGCTGACCAGACAGTAGCACAAAATTGATTACAAGAACAGTAGCAAATACAGCTTCATATTCAACAAAAAAAAAAAAACATTTTATCTTCGTTTTTTAGTTCATTACCAGAACATTTATACTTAATAAAGAATGAAAACACAGAGGGATATTACACAAGATGATTTTTCATAAATAATTAAAACTACCGGAAAACTGCGGAAATATGGTATGTGTTGAGAATTGGCAAGAACTAACTTCTTTCTCCCAATAAATGAAACAATTTCACGTCTCATTGACATTATTACACAAGTCTATTTAATTACAAAAAATATCGTTAGCAACCTTCTAATTCATAAAGCAAATTTTAAATATAAGTGACATTTAAGGCTAGCTTCTAACAGTGTGGAAATTCTCATCCGGCATTCAAGAGACCAGTATTCCAGAAATCAGTAATTTTTAAAATATGAGCTTTGAAAAAAAAAACATATATTTTTTTTTATTGAATGGAAAATCATGCTATAAAACTATTTTCAACTCAAGCTTTTATAATCTTTTTTTTTTATTTAGCAATGCCTATAAAATTTTTCCAAGCTTATGTTGAAAAGTGGGTTAACAGAAAAAAGTATTCATATGCAAATACCCTAAATGTCTCATCACTCTTTCCCTCCAGCAAGTGTGTTATGAAATGACCTTATTTCGTGACGTCACTTATGTGAATGGATGCCGTAAAGCCCAATTTCCTGCTCTTATGGCATGAAAGTTTGTTGCTGTTAAGCAAACAAATAAATTCCACTGGACCAGTTTCTGTCAGAATGATTGCTAGAAAACTGTTTCTTTAAATAGACAAACTGCGAGGAGGATGAAAAGATATGCACTCTTGTCCAAGGACGAGAGATACTGCCTTGATAGTTGTGCATTCAAATGAGTTTTCTAAATTTTCATGTCTCAATGAGTAGAAATTGTTTTAAATGTTTACCCCTCGCCCCACATTTTCTCGTTAAGTGGTGACTACTGCATATGTTTTGTATTATTTGTTAATTTAAAATTTCTATTTAAATTATAAACTTTTTTATAGTTTATACTTTAATCAAACTGTAAATATATTGTAATTGAAAATAATTAAATTGAATAGAAAATGCAATAAAACAACCATGCAAAGTTCACTTTTCAACCTTGCAATTCAATTATCTAAACATTAGAGCCCAAATTAAATGTGATTCTGGATTTTAAAACAAAATTGAAGATTTTGTTTGATTTGGTGTTACAAATGTGTTTGAATTATGAAGTGAGCAATTTTTTCAACTTTTCTCTGATTCAACAAGGGAAATAATTTCAGAAATATGAAATAGTATCAGAACTAAAGAAAAATTCTAAAAAATACACAGTACTCTTTTAATTATTTTTAAAATTTTTCTGGTACGTAATTAGGTGTGAAATATAGTTTGTTGTTGTTTAGAAATTGTTAAACCATTTTTCAAAGTTTTAGACAATTAGTGCTACTTCAGAGAAAGCAGGAATTTCACTCAGACAACACCAGGTCAATCCATTGTTTTGTAGCCAGAAGATAGGGATTTTGTGGGGGTTTTATGTACGCAGTGTTTATCCACTGGGTGTTGTTCAAAGTGTTGAGTACTTGAGTGTTGTAGGAATTTTTCTAGTTTCAGAATCACATGTAAGAAACGCTTATCCTCCGGTCTTCTTTTTCTTCTTTTTTTTTGTTAAATTGTTTAAAATATATAAAAAAAAGTTTTATCCGTAAAGGAAAATGCCATAAAGTAGTAATAAATTCTGCTATTAAGTAGAAAAAAGTGTTGCAATATATAATTAAAGTTAACTAATTTATTAAGTTAAACAATTCTATATTTAATGTGATTCATTTTCTACATTTGAATATTTTTTATATATTTTGATTTATTTATTTGAATATTTTGGTACTCCCTTTGAATTAGGAATAGAGAAAGATCAGATTTATCTAGCAATTTTCTTAGCTCTTTATTAGAAAGTGGCCCTACTCTAATGAATTATATCAAAGTTAAAACTTCATTTACAAAAATATAAAATCTTTCATTGTATAGTTATATTATTTTGGTGATTTACTAACAATTTTTATTCTTTTACAGTCTATCTGCTAGTACATTGTCTGTGTCATCCAGCAGCTCACTTGGGTCTCTAAGCACAGGATCATTGTCAGCTAGCAGTAAAGGCTCTCTGAGCAGCCTTAGCTTTACTGATATATATGGGCTTCCACAATGTGCAGCTGACCCATCTTTACAGGATTTACATAAACGTATTGGGCATTTAATTCATGGTGGTTCTCAAGTAAGTGGACCAGCAAACTTTGATGAAACCGCCATATCACTTTCAATTGGTCACAGTGTACCATCTCTCTCACCTCGATCATCTTTATCTTCAATATCACCTCCTGTTTCTCCGTATGAATATGGCCCACCACCTAGCTATGAACAGACTCATCTTGAGAGATTACAAAGACAGTTACCTATGGGCATTGAAGATCAGCTGGCTGATTTGAAACTGTCACCGTGTGCAGCTGAAAACTTGAGAACTGAACAAAATTTATTAAATGAACAAAAATTTCTTACAAGTAGCTTTTTATGTAGTGAACAGAATTTAAGGAATGTGGGAGAATCCTATAATGATTCTCATAGCAATCCACCTTTAAGTCCAATCTGTGAACTTGGAAGCGATGATCTTCAAACTTGTACATATTCAAGCTCAAACAATCGTAGTGTCTCTGCTGCTGTTAGTGATGAATCTGTTGCGGGTGATAGTGGAGTATTTGAAGCTTCAAATAAAAGGTGAGTTTTTCAAACATTTTTGTATTAACACTGTTAAACTATGTTATCCAAAGAAAAGTTTTTATAGAGATTTATTTCACTCCCCTATTTTTGAGGAGTGAATTTTAAAATAGATAGTTGAATTACAAAGCCGAGTTTGTGTTTTTATTACTCCTATTTTATAACTGAAGTTTAATTATAAGTGATAGATACATTATATAAATTAAACACACTAGAATTATTGCTTGAATATTTAATCAAAAAATATAATTCCATAATGTTTCCACTTTTTAAGGATCAATTGGACTAAGATTTTTTAAGAACATAATTAAAAAATATATGGAATTTAAAATTTTTAGGTACTTATTTTGTTTATACCATTTCACAGCATGTTTGTCATTCACAGGGTTAAAAAAAAATACTGCACAAATTGCTCCAAAAGTCTAATATTTATTGAGCGTTATGTGCAGTTATCACTTTGTATTAAAATGTTGAAACTGGGAAAATTGCAAGGAGAGGGTCGAAAAATGATCAATAATTGACTGGGATTTACGATAGAATTCTCGCATATAGAGTTTGTAGCTAAGTAATTCTAAAATTCAAAATACGCCTGCCAAAAGTATTATCTTTAAAATATTGTAATTAGAGAAAACAAGTTGAAGTGGCCAAAAAACAGTTCCAAAACTACATGTAGGCAAGCACATCAGAGGCAATTTTTATATAGATTTTTAACAAATGCCTGTTATTCAAAACCATAGTTCTCCTCAAAATAACATCAGATTAATTAAAAATATGGGAATTTGATTTTGTGGGAATTTTCATTTAATAATACAATATGAAAATGAAGTGTATTTTCGAAGGAATCTGTTGTGTCAAAATACAAATATCTTAAATATTTTTGCTAAGCAATCTAGAAAGGTTATACGATTGCTCTATGCCTAGCTTTTTATTTTTAGCTGAAAATTTTCTTTCAAAAGTAGCTGCAATTATCGGCAGGGCTAGAACGATAGAAAAATTTTTTACATTCAGATTACATGAAAAAGACCATTGTCACTCTACACCCATGTAATTTTCTAAAAGGTTATCTTTATTTGAAAGCAGGAAAGTAATTAAATCTGATGCTAAAAATAAGGATCTAAATGTGTATTTAGGAAATCTGATGATGAATTTATCTTAATGGAAATTACTTCAATGATTAGACTTATCAAGCCTGAAAGAATGATGGTTTCTTGGTACATCTGTGTGAATGTGTCCAATGTATTAGTTGTCCTATTTTAAGATGAGATAATTTTTTTTCCATTTATTTCCTTAAATGCATAAAATAGATATTATTTAATGATAGTGAAAATAAAAAAAAGGAAAGTATGAAATCTAGTGTGCCTATACTTTACTCCAGCAGATAAATTGTAACATATATAGATCAAATTAATTTTCATGTCCTAAGAATAAGTTTGGATTTACTTTTTCCATGCAAACTAGATGTATATTTAAGTTTCCAGTTGCTGTTTGAAAGTTCCAAAAATGAAATGAAAACTTTTTTATAGGCTTATTGAAGATAGACTTGATTTAAGTGAAATGAATCTAGAAACTGCACAAGTACAAGTTAAATTAAGGTAACTTTTTCTTTCACTTATTTCTTAGAACTTTTTAATGTACCTATTATTTTTTTTAGTTTCTTATATTAAAGTCTACTTGATAATATTTAGCAAACCTTGTACTGTAATTTGAGATAGATTAGGGGTGCACAACCTGCGGCCCTTCGACTACTGAAGTGCGGCCCGCGAGAGCTTCTAAACACGATAAAATTTTTTTAAAAAATGGCAATTTTTAATCGCAATTTTAAGTCATCACGTTTTGACACTATCAATTTTAACAGATTCTTTAGTAAATGTACGTTTAACGCGCTTTCTTTAAGCCGATTTTATCGTAAATATATATGACTTTTTTATATACAGTTATTTCCGCTTTTCTATGTGATTTCAAAAATCCCGAATTTTTATTACGACGCGAGTTTCAGATCACGTATTTAAATAATCACTTTTTGTGCACTTTATTTCTGCCGATTTCATCTTAAATCTAAGTGATTTTTTATCTTTTTTTTGCAATTATTATTTTTTTTTTTTCAAAAATTTTTTTCGGCAGTTATTGTTATGCGTTCCCACGTATTATAAAGATTTCCAATTATTCTATTATGACATGCAAATTTTAGATCATGTATTTGACACGCTTTATTCGTGCTGAGTTCAGCATAAATATATTTTTTCCCAATTATTTCTATACTTTTCCACATGATTTTGACGATCCCGTTATTTAACTATGATGTTATTACGACACTTGATTGCTAATCGTGCTTTTAAATAATCACTTTTTGATACGGTATTTCGGTACAGTTTTATCGTAATTCCTAGTTATTTTTCCTTTGTTTTTATTTCCGCAATGAATATGATTTGCTCGAATGTGGTAATGAATTGTGATTTGATCAAAAACCAAATATTCGTAAAAAAAAAGAAGAAAAAATCGACTGAACGCCGTACACTTGGGGCCAAATAGCAAAATCTTTTAGCAGCATAGCAATACTGAAACTAAAATTTCAATGCTCAGAATAATACTTCCTGGAAAAATGTATTCAGAAATTAACTCTCAAAAATAAGGCCAATCAAGAACATTTTTGAAAATGTCGAAAAGCGAAACAGAGGACATAAAAATCAATCTTAATTTTTGAAAATTTTTTTTAAAGCTGAACATCTTGATTTTTCAATTACCAGAAAAAGCCAAGAAAAAGGAATTAAGTCAACAGAAATGCTATTAAATATTACTGCGTTATAATGAAAACGTCTAAAAGAAGTTTTTTTTTTTTATTTAAAGAAAATAGAAAGATAGAAAAAAACGTTCTTAATCTTTTAAATGAAAATCTTATGCCGAAAATCTGAATTTAAATTTTTCTCATTGCCATAATTTTAGAAGAAAAAAAATTACTATAAAATAAATTTTATTTGCAACTTTATTTTTAAAAAATAGGCTGAGTCATAATAAAAATGCCTAAGAAAAGAAAAACAGAAAAAACAAATTTTTCTTAGTTCCTAAACCAAAACTTTAATACTGAAAATCACACTTTTCTATGTTACTGGTTATTTATATTACAGTACATGAAAAGAGTGATAATAAATTAATAGTATGAGACGTTCTGTTAAAATGCTGGGTTATAATAAAAGCAGCAAAAAATGGAAAAAAATCCTTCTCAATTCTCAAAGTATCGAAAAAATGACAAAATTGACTTGTCTGATTATAATTTTTTTTTAAAAAAGTAATATCTATAAAAATTCAACAATAAAAAAAACTTAGAAAAATACATTTCTAAAAAATTTTCTGCCGAATATTTGACTGATCATTCAACCAACTGTATTTTTAACAGAAGGGCCAAATACTCGTTACATCCCTCCCTAATTTAAATGCATTGTTATTGCAACTTGAGAAATTCATAAAATGGC